GACATGACTGATGATGAGTTGCGGCAGTTCTTTTGTCAGTATGGAGAAGTGGTGGATGTCTTCATCCCCAAACCATTCAGGGCTTTTGCCTTTGTTACGTTTGCAGATGATCAGGTATTTTCCTCCTTAATACTTTGTCCTAGTTAATTAGCTTTCTCCTTTTTGGTGATTTCTGTTTTAGCTGCTTTCTCTTGAACATTTCTTATCTAGCTAATTGTCAACGTAACTAAGCTTTCTGATCTTGTAAAGTGTGGGGTATTTGTGGTATTTGTGGTATATCTAGAATATCTAAAGATGTATTTGCTTTTAGATATTTTTCAGTATGTGGCATTTGAGAATGTTGCATATCATATATCTTTTGAAAGAGTGATCTTATTTTCTCTCCAGCTTAGATAAATTATGCTTGAAATCTAGGTTTTATTGCTGCTTTGATTTGAGAGTCAGTGGCTCAATCTCCCTTGCTTACATCTGTTATTTCTTTCAGGTTGCCCAGTCTCTTTGTGGAGAAGACTTGATCATTAAAGGAGTCAGCGTACATATATCCAATGCCGAACCTAAGCACAATAGCAATAGACAGTTAGAAAGAAGTGGAAGATTTGGTGGTAATCCAGGTGGCTTTGGGAATCAGGGTGGATTTGGTAATAGTAGAGGGGGTGGAGCTGGCTTGGGGAACAATCAAGGTAGTAATATGGGTGGTGGGATGAACTTTGGTGCTTTCAGCATTAATCCAGCAATGATGGCTGCAGCCCAGGCAGCACTGCAGAGCAGTTGGGGTATGATGGGCATGTTAGCCAGTCAGCAGAACCAGTCAGGTCCATCAGGTAATAACCAAAGCCAAGGCAACATGCAGAGAGAGCCAAATCAGGCCTTTGGTTCTGGAAATAACTCTTACAGTGGTTCTAATTCTGGTGCAGCAATTGGTTGGGGGTCAGCATCAAATGCAGGGTCAGGCAGTGGTTTTAATGGAGGCTTTGGTTCAAGCATGGATTCTAAGTCTTCTGGCTGGGGGATGTAGACTGGGTTATGGCTGGTTGCTGTGGAATGGTGGGAATTCAAATTTTTCTATGCTCATGGTAAGTATATTGTAAAATACATATGTACTAAGAATTTTCAAAATTGGTTTGTTCAGTGTGGAGTATATTCAGCAGTATTTTTGACATTTTCTTTAGAAAAAAAGGAAGAGCTAAAGGAATTTTATAAGTTTTGTTACATGAAGGGTTGAAATATTGAGTGGTTGAAAGCGAACTGCTGTTTGCCTGTTTGGTAAACCAACACTACAATTGATATCAGACGGTTTCTCCTGTAATAATTTATCCCTGGACTTGTCAAGTGAATTCTTTGCATGTTCAAAATGGAAACCATTGATTAGAACTACATTCTTTTTTCCTTGTTTTAATTTGAACCCCACCATATGGATTTTTTCCTTAAGCAAATCTCCTTTTGGGAGATCATGATGTCACAGTGTTTGGTTCTTTTGTTTTTGTTTTTTAACACTTGTCTCCCCTCATATACAAAAGTACAATATGAAGCCTTCATTTAATCTCTGCAGTTCATCTCATTTCAAATGTTTATGGAAGAAGCACTTCATTGAAAGTAGTGCTGTAAATATTCTGCCATAGGAATACTTCTGTCTACATGCTTTCTCATTCAAGAATTCGTCATCACGCATCACAGGCTTCGTCTTTGACGGTGGGTGTCCCATTTTTATCCGCTACTTTATTTCATGGAGTCGTATCAACGCTATGAACGCAAGGCTGTGATATGGAACCAGAAGGCTGTTTGAACTTTTGAAACCTTGTGTGGGATTGATGGTGGTGCCGAGGCATGAAAGGCTAGTATGAGCGAGAAAAGGAGAGCGCGTGCAGAGACTTGGTGGTGCATAAGGGATATTTTTTAACTTGGCGAGATGTGTCTCTCGATCCCGTGGCTTTGGTGAGAGCGTGTGCAGAGAGCAATGATAGCAAATAATGTACGAATGTTTTTTGCATTCAAAGGACATCCACATCTGTTGGAAGACTTTAAGTGAGTTTTGTTCTTAGATAACCCATATTAGCTGAATGTGTTAAGTGAAACGATACTTGTATTTCCCCTACCCCTTTGTCAACTGCTGTGAATGCTGTATGGTGTGTGTTCTCTTCTGTTATTGATCTGTAAGTGTGGTAATGTGAACTGAAGCTGATGGGTTGAGAACATGGACTGAGCTTGTGGTGTGCTTTGCAGGAGTACTTGGAAGCAGAGTTCACCAGTGAGCTCAGGTGTCTCAAAGAAGGGTGGAAGTTCTAATGTCTGTTAGCGGCCCATAAGCATGCTGTTTGCTGCAGTTCCGTGTCCTGTGCTTGGATGCTTTTATAAGAGTTGTCAATGTTGGAAATTCTTAAATAAAACTGATTTAAATAATATGTGTCTTTGTTTTGCAGCCCTGAATGCAAAGAATTCATAGCAGTTAATTCCCCTTTTTTGACCCTTTTGAGATGGAACTTTCATAAAGTTTCTTGGCAGTAGTTTATTTTGCTTCAAATAAACTTATTTGAAAAGTTGTCTCAAGTCAAATGGATTCATCATCTGTCATGCATTGACACCTGATACCCAGACTTAATTGCTATTTGTTCTTGCATTGTCCAAAGTGAAAAGCTTTTTTTTTTTTAAATCTAGTTTTTAAAAAGTCTGGGTGACCGCACCTAAAATGGTAAGCAGTACCCTCCAGCTTTTTCTTAGTGCCTCTGTGCATTGGGTGATGTTCTCTTTACATGGCCTGTATAAATCTCCATTGGGAAATCACGCCTTCTAAAAATATTTGGGGGAGTGGGCAAAACAATGTTGATTATTTTCAAACGCTTTGTACCAAAGCATATCAGTTGAAAAGAAGGGATTATTAGCATCTTTCTAGTTTGGGATTTGAAAAGTGGAATTAATTGCAATAGGGATAAAGTAGAAGAAACCACAAATTAACTTGTGCCTAAAATCCATTAAGAAGCCTGATAGCTTTAAGAACTATTAGGATGGGTTGTCTGTGGAAGTGTTAAGTGAAGTGGGCTTTGTCTTCCAAAGGTGGAGGGAGATAATATTGAATAAAATTGCTTGCAAAACTCAAGGCTCTCACCATGCACTGTTAAGTCTGTGAAAGCAATAACAATATTCTCTTGTACTTTTTATGTAACTAGTAATTCTGTGAGAGTTGAGTTTATTTTCTAATTGGAAGAATGTGACAGTATTTGTGTTGGTAGTACCTAATGCCCTTACCTAATTAGACTTTGATAAATAGGTTTGTCATTTTGCAAGTTATGTGCTCTAAACACTTTATAAATGAAGTCATCCTTTAGACTTGTGATCGCCACATTGTTACGTTATTCAGTTTCCTCTGTAAAAGGATCTTGAGTTGTTTTTTTTTCCTGCATCTAAATCTGCATGATTTCCAAACCCTGTACCATCTGAATTTTGCATTTTAGCACTTGCACTATTACTCAGCAGCAGTAACATGGTAACACTTAAAATGGTATTCGGGGACCTCCAAAGACTAAACTGACAAGCCTTCAAGGAGCCCAGGGGTAAGTTAACTTGTCAATGGCATGGTTTTAATCCCTTATTTACACTTGTGTAAATCTGGTCATAGAAGGCTTTCGATGTTGAGTAGCCTTTTATTAACATGTTTATGGTACTACATAGATACGGGTATTTATTCTACCCAAACCAAAAAAAAAAAGTTGAAGTGTAGAAGTACTTAAACTATTTGGCAAAGATTTGTTTTTTATTTGGTCATCTAAATGCATTCATTCTAAAATTTTTTTGAACCAGTTGAATAAAAATTTTTGTTGCCACCAGAGTTTAGTGTCTGGAGTCTTACTGGAAAAACATGATTCTTTTTTTAATATGACAAAGATGCTGGAAAGTTACCTTAAAAGTTGAGTCTCAAGAAGTTGCACTTTATATACACAAGGGAAATTAGGCCAAACTCTTAGGAACTTCTACATATAATGGTAACTTTAGCTAGGCTGAAAAACTTTTTTATTACATGTTAGCTATTAAAACTTTTTAGGGAAGAATAGCTAACTAAAATTACATTTTAAAGTTGAAATCAACATTTTGTCCTTAGTAAGAAAAAGTAAACTCACTAATTCATAAGATGTTAGAATATTTTGTTGAGGCCGGCCCCATATACCGAGGGTGGCGGGTTCAAACCGGCCCTGGCCAAACTGCAACCAAAAAAAAAAAAATAGCCGGGCATTGTGGCGGGCGCCTGTAGTCCCAGCTACTCAGGAAGCCGAGGCAAGAGAATGGCTTAAGCCCAGTAGTTGGGAGTTTCTGTGAGCTGTGTGATGCCATGGCACTCTACCAAGGGCAATAAAGTGAGACTGTCTCTACAAAAAAAAAAGAATATTTTGTTGAACATCAGGCGAGTAGCTCTTAACTTGTGCATTAGAGTTCTGTGCTTTATTCAGCTATTGCTGTGGGGTTTTTTTCCTCCTCCTTTGGCTTAACTGTGCCCCGAGTATTTCGTACTCATTGTAGGAAGAAAAGGACATAACAGAATTTTATAATGTCACAATTATTTCCATGTTGTTCTTCATCATCTGGTAATGCCACATTTTATTCAGTCTTCAGAATTTGGACATTATTTAGGTTATTTCCAGTTGCTAAGAACATGCTTGCAGCTAAATTAAATTCTTAGCTTTGGATTTGCTAGGTCAAAGAGTATGCATGCTTTTAAAAAAGACCAGTCTACAGCCATACTACACTGAGCACACCAATCTCATCTGAAATGTATTGCCCCGTTGCCTTGAATTTAGAAAGTTTATATTGTCTTTGACAATGTGAAATTGTACTACTATTCCCTGTACCTTTTGTGCAACAATTTGATAAGTGAAAAATTACATTCCAGCATCTTGTGGTATTGGTTTTTAACATGGAAATCAGTCAATATCTGGGCTAAAGTATTAACCCAAAACAGTGACTCGAGGTTAACCAGTATTGCAAGCATATGTAAAACACTATTGGAGATCAATTAAAAAAAAATTCAGAAACAGAACAAGTCTGAACAGGCAATTTATAGAAATACAGTCAGTATATAAAGAAAGGTACTGGTCTTTTAAAAAAGCAATTTAACAGTGAGCTTAAATTGGGCTGGCAAAGATGAGTGCCACTCTGATGGTTTGAACTGATGGAGGATGGAGTTACGCTAGCAAGTGGAAAGGCAACAGCAGGTTTATGTGGAGTTTGGTTTTGTTTTTTGTGTGGAGAAACAACTACCATGTTGATGCATCTCAGGGTCACATTGCTGCTAAGGTCTTTCACAAGTACTTCTAAAAATAAGGAATCACTTACTGGTTGATGACATGCAAATTAAAAATTGTTCATTATGTTCTTGATCCAGGGAATGTAGTTACTGACTTTTGTGTAGACCCCATACTGCCCTGCTTCCCCACAGTTTATGGAACCCCAGGACACTATTCCTCCCACAAACCATCTCTGTGTCTCATTATCTAGAAACACTAATGCACCTCCACTGTCACCTCTACAGCTGTCCTTGCCCCCACTTTCTAAACCAGCACAGAGCATGTTATCAGTTACCCTTGCTCCTGGATAGGGCTGCTTTTCATATGCAGCAGTACATTTCTGATGATCAACTACTGGTATGTCAACAAACATTAGGTTTCTAGCAAGAAAACCCCTTTGGGTTAATCCCCATCCAGATGCAGTTCCAATGTCATTTGTCCTCATAAAGGATTCAGCTTCTTTTCTTGGCAGACAAATAGGCATGATGTTGCTATTGATTACAACTTTGTTCTTCAATTTAATCAGTGCTATGTCATTGTCAAAACCAGCATTGTGGGTGTAACCTTCGTGTATAAAAACAGCCTCAGCCCAGGCTTGTGTATAATGAAGTGATAGTCTCTTCAGGGCACCCATTCGAATGTCCAGGGAGGATGCATCATCTTTTTGCTTATATACAGCATGAGCAGCTGTTAGGACCCAGTTGTCATATAAAAGTGCGCCTGCTGCTGTAGTGCCACCTGATAACAGGACTTGCCAAGGAAAATCACCAAGCTTTGCATTTTGCCCTCCATATATACGACTTCCTGTAGTCCGAGTCGATAGTCCACAGACTGAGGAAAGAAGCATATATAGAGCTGATTATTACCATCATGGAGTTGTGTATACTTAACGTCAGCCAAAAATTAACGTGAATTGGCGAGTGTCTGACCACCTATATGGGCAAGTGATGAGGCTGTTTTAAAATAACACAGTTCAAAGACTTGATAGAAGCCTTTAGGTATTTCTTAACTCCTCAGTAAGTGAGATAAGTGAAATTAACTTCTGGAAATTTTGTTTTGCTAAAAAGTTGATCTGTGGATGGTGCCTGTGGCTTAGTAAGTAGGGTGCTGGCCCCATATACCGAGGGTGGTAGGTTCAAGCCCGTCCAAACTGCAACAGAAAATAGCCAGGTGTTGTGTAGGCACCTATAGTCCCAGCTACTCAGGAGGCTGAGGCAAAAGAATCGCCTAAGCCCAAGAGCTGGAGGTTGCTGTGAGCTGGGAGGCCACAGAACTCTACCGAGTGCGACAAAGTGAGACTCTTGTCTCTAAAAGAGAAAAAAACTTGATCTTTAAGACTGGGGGAATTAATAGGGCATATAGGAATTGGCTGATGCACTGGGACAGAATCTTTTTGTTGACAGTGTTTTTTTTCACTTGTAAAATGGGAGTATTGTGTAATTCTGGGAAAGCAGAAATGAAGGTCAGTATCAGAACTTGCAAAATTTTACCTTTGAACGTGTAAATTTTTAAAAATTAGAATGTCAAGAGTTGTGGCCAAGACCTTTAAAGTTAAGAAATTACTATTTTTCGGTCTAGTTGATTGTTCCAAACACTAAATCTAATTGTCTGTATTGCAAACTAAATAAACTCATTAATATAGCATATGTATGTTTCCTGTTGGTGGCAATATACTTGTATTAAAACTTACCAAAAAAAAACCTGTTTTATCAGCCAAGTATAGGTTTGTAGAAAACTAATTTAGGCCAGATAACACAGGGGTAATGATTATTACTATATTATTACCTTTCTGTCTTTTTTTTTTAATCACTATTCAACTATTATCTTTGGAGCCAATTCTGGTTAAAATTTTTTTTCTTTAAGTACTACTAAAGGGTAAATTGTATTAATGTTTAAAAACTAGATGTCGTTGAAAACAATTGCTTAGGGAAATAATGAAGTTATTAACTTTGGGGTTTAATAGCATTTTTACAGAGAAGGAAGGTAACAACAGAAGAACTCATGTTTATAAATGTATAAATTGTTCAAGAGAATTTTAAAAATCATTTAATTTTTTATGCTTGCCTAGTTAGAAGGTCAAAAATAATCAAATGACTGATGCAGTCAGCACCTAACAACCTCCCCACATGGAAGGGGGATAATGAGAACATACTATTTGGAAATAATAACTTAGCCTAAGAGCCAAGTGCTGAAGTCACATTTCTGCCTACCACAGCTAAAGCTCTCCTTACTGTCTCCTACCCAGTTGTACTTTCCATCAATTAGGAATCCCTTGTATAAATGTGTCCATTACCCGGCTCACAGACTGGGAGCGATTTTTCTCCTTTGGAGCTTGTCCAGAATCCATCAGCCTCACACACATATTTACCTGCAAATCATTGGAAAAGCAAAAATGTTTAACTGCATGTGTAAGATGGTTGTCATTTGCTTGAATACTCTCTTGAAAAATGTTGATTCTTGAGCATCAGTGGGAAATAGAAGTGTCTGAGTAACCATTTTACATGATTTCATAAATAGGAGGCTCTGCATTACCATGTTTGTTTGCAAAGTGGAAACCTTTTAGATGTGTAACTTGAATATGTATCAAGATCTCAAGTGCTTAATGATAAGGTTTTGACTTGTTAAATTAAACCATTTGGAATATATTGTGTGTTTGTAGTAGTCATTTACTAGATAAGATCTGTTTTCAGATTCTTGTAAATTGACATTAAAGTCACCTTAGCTATAATATTTCACTTAGCAGGTGGGGGAAGTGCCTTTTAATCTTTTGTCTAGTCTTAGCCAAAAATGTTGGTTAAAGTTTATTTTCAGATCATGAGAGCTCAAGTTCCAAATGTTGCCCACCCCCAACTTTGAAAAATGTGCTCACCATCACCCGTCTTCATCATGTAGAATGTCTCTTCACAGCTGTACTGAATCACAGCTTTGTACGTGGTCACTTCAGGACCTGTGACGTACTCCACTCGGCCACAGGGCAGATCATCAGGAGGGCCACAGTCAACAACTGTAAAGAATGGGGGGAGGGAAGGATCCACTTGTAATTTCAGTACTAACATTAAACAAGTGGAGACCATAAGCAGCTAATCCTGTGGTTGTGCCATGCGGTGCTAAAACTTGGAGGCATCTTTATTTTCCTCTGTACAGTGGACATTGTCCATTTCATCCCTAGATGTGGAGAGGGTCCCTTGAGTGATTTTAAAACTTGCTCTTTTATTCCTGTTACAGGGGAAGTTGACCTTAGAAAATTTCTTAGCACCCTCACTGCACATACAAAAAAGGTCTGCAGCAGAAAAGCAAGCTACAAGGCACAGTCTGGTTTGATGTAAAATAGTACCCAGTTTGCAATTCAGAGGGCTGGAGAGACAGACAAGGACACAATAGAAAAACACAGCTTTCCCTGATGTCTTTTCAGGGGGAACTTGTAGAAGCACTGCTAAAGAAAAATGGGGCAGTTTCATCACTCATGCCTCAAGTTTGGACTCGAAATCACACTTGTTACGACATTACTAATGTGAAATAACCAGTTTGTGAGACAAAAGCCGCAAGGTGATTTCAATCTAAAAGTTCTTTGGGCTGGGCATGGTGGCTCATGCCTGTAATCGTAGCACTGGGAGGCTGAAGAGGATCACTTGAGCTCCGGAGTTTCGGGTGTGTTTGTGTACTCATGTAGTCCTAGCTACTTGGGCAGCTGTGGCAACTGGATCTCTTGAACCCAGGGGTTTGAGGTTGCCATAAGCTAGGCTGATGCCACTGCACACTACCTGGGGTGACAGCTAGTCTATCAAAAAAAGAACGAGTTCCTTTAGCCAGGTATGGTGGCTCAACACATTTGTAATCTCAGCACATTGGGAGGCTTAGGTGGGAGGATCATTGGAGTCCAGGAGCTCAAGACCAGCCTGGGCAAGGAGACCTCCCCATACTCAGTTCTACAAAAAACAGTGTGGTGATGCACACTTGGAGTTCCAGCTACTATGGCAGCTGAGGCAGGAGGCTCACTTTGAGCCTGGGAATTCCAGGCTGCTATGAGCTATGATCACGCCACTGTACTCCAGCTTGGTGACAGAGTGAAACTCAAAAAATAAAGAATGGCCAAGCATGGTCACACATGCCTGTAATCCTACCACTCTGAGAGGATTGCTTGATGCCAAGCATTCAAGATCAACTTGTATTGAGTCCTCATCTCTACCAAAAAAAAAAAAAAATTAGGCCGGGCGTGGTGGCTCACGCCTTTCATCTTAACACTGGGAGGAAGAGGAGGGTGGATTGCCTGAGTTCACAGGTTCAAGACCAGCCTGAGCAAGAGTGAGACTCCCGTCTCTAAGAAGAGCCAGTGTTGTGGTGAGCTCCTGAAGCCTCTGCTACTTGAGAGGTTGAGACAAGAGGATCACTTCAGCCCAAGAGGTTGAGGTTGCTGTGAGCTCTGACAACACAGCATTCTACCAAGGGTGACAGACCGAAACTGTCTCAAGAAAGAAAAAAATATACTAAAAATATTTTGGTAAGTGTAAAACTAAGATAACATGATTCTGGCTCGGTGCCTGTGGCTCAAGTGGCTAAGGCGCCAGCCACATACACCTAAGGTGGCGGGTTCGAATCCAGCCCCAGCCCGCCAAACAATGATGGCTGCAACCAAAAAAGCCGGGCGTTGTGGCGGGCGCCTGTGGTCCCAGCTACTTGGGAGGCAGAGGCAGGAGACTCGCTTGAGCCCAGGAGTTGGAGGTTGCTGTGAGCTGTGATGCCACAGCACTCTGCCCAGGGGGACAGCTTGAGGCTCTGTCTCAAAAAAAAAAAAAAAAATGTCTGTCAAGTACACATTACTCAGGAGGGTGTGGATGCATGTATTACCACCCTACCTCCGGTCCCATGTGTATGTTCACTGGTGTGAGATGTGTAGTTAAGAGGGATACTCACCACAACAGTAACAGTGACCACACTCTCACATGGTGGGATTATGGGTATTAAAATATTCGTTGTAATTTTCTATACTCCCCATCTTCTGTGATGAGCATTGTTACATTGAACATTTTCTCTGCAGTCCCAGCTACGTGGGAGGCTGAGGCAAGAGAATGGCCTAAGCCCAGGAGTTGGAGGTTGCTGTGAGCTGTGACGCCATAGGACTCTACCCAGGGCTACAAAGTGAGACTCTGCGTTTTGGTTTTTTTTTTTTTTGGGAGACAGTCTCACTTTGTCACCTTGGTAGAGTGCTATGCTGTCATAGCTCACAGCAACCTTAAACTTGGGCTCAAGTGATTCACTTGCCTCAGTCTCCTGAGTAGCTGGGACTACAGGTGCCCACCACAATGCCTGGCTATTTTTAGAGACAGGGTCTCGCTCTGGCTCAGGCTTGTCTGGAACCTGTGAGCTCTGGCAATCCACACACCTCAGCCTCCCAAGTGCTGGGATTACAGGCATAAGCCACCATGCCCGGCTAGAAAAACATTTTCTTTTTTTTTTTTTTGTAGAGACTGAGTCTCACTTTATCATCCTCGGTAGAGTGCTGTGGAGCCACACAGCTCACAGTAACCTCCAGCTCCTGGGTTTAGGTGATTCTCTTGCCTCAGCCTCCTGAGTAGCTGGGATTATAAGCGCCCACCACAATGCCTGGCTATTTTTTGTTGCAGTTTGGCTGGGGTCAGGTTTGAACTCACCACCCTCAGTATATGGGACCAGCACCCTACTCACTGAGCCACAGGTGCCGCCCTAGAAAAACATTTTCAAGAACACCCTTTGCTAAAGCAAATACTGGTACTTCCCCTACTCGCGTGGCCTGGTTCTATTTTACCCCGTAAGGATGAGCTGAGAGGGTAGGGAAGAGCAGCACACTTGGAACTCAAAGCCCTGGAAATAGAATAAACAACAAAACCCAGAGATACGGTGGAAGCAGTGCAGTGGGGAAGGTATGGAGCGTAGTCACCACATGACCGTACTGCTGCACTCGGGCATCCGCTGGTCCCAAGATCCATTTTTCTGGCAGACTGCAGTGAATGATTTCAGGGGCAAATGACCCTAAAGGAGAATTCAGAAAATACTAAGTTCCTTGTTTACATCATGAAATTACTCCCCAAAGCTGTGCTGTTTGGTAGCTCCTATTGTAGTGTGTCACAAGACGCTCCCGAGGAGGTGACAGTCAGGTGACTAGTGTCTGTGTGTGCCCTGCTGCCTCGGTGGATGTGCACATTTGCTGCCAAGATTCCTGCTCGCATAAGTCACCCATGTTGTGTAGCTCATCTTTCAGTGTGTGTTGGCACTTTATGAATCAAATGTTGTCCTTCGCAGCAGTCATGATATGTCTTTGGTTTTTACTGTAATCCAAGAACATATCAGATCTCAAAGTTCCTGCTAACATTCCACCATTTCCTTATATAAAGTGCCAGAGAGTTGTGGTCAAAAGTTTGGGGCCAGTGGGCATGATCAGACATGAGGCTGAAACACTAAAACATTTCTGGGTTTTGTCTGCGTGTTCTCTGTCAGCTTTCAATGTCACAGTCATGTACAAGGAAATGTTTTTGACCTAAACTGAAATACGTTTTTTCTAAAATCAAACAGTAAAATTAAAGATGGTGACTTTGGCAGAAGCTTTATGCTTCAAAGGATGCCAGGATTTGTGTTTTTCTTAAATCAGAAACTGAACAAGTTTGCAGTCTAAGGGACCTGGGGGGGAAGCGCCTGCCCAAGAAGTTTGCAAAGTGGGAAAAGTGTATTTTTTTTCTTTTGACCCTCCACAGGACTGGGGATTGCACAGCTATCATTTCAATGTTATTACTTATTACCACTGGGACTCAGTGACAATTTTGAAGAACATAAAGAGGATGTGTTAATCTCTTACCTGTGCCCCTCAAGCAACATGCTAAGCATTTTTTTAAATTATATTCCTTCTCCCTTAACAGTGACCACTATTTATAACTTTGCAGAATATACTCTTTCCTGTGGCTAATTTTTTCTGGGCCTAGGAGTTGTTGCATGGAGAGATCATTTGAGCAGGGGAGGATCTTAATTTAATACCAGGCGCTATCACAGAGCACATGGAAGAAGGGTGATAAACTCATCTTTCTGTTGTTTCAGCTGCTCTACAAAGTTGCGGTCATGTGTGAACAAACAGAAAAGTTGCCCATTTAAATCATCAGCTTTCCAAAGCTGATGTAACTAAAAGGACAGAGGCCGCCTATGATCCTAGCACTCTGGGAAGCCAATGCAAGCTGACTGCTTGAGCTCAGGAGTTCAAGACCAGCTTGAGGAAGAGTGAAACCCTGTCTCTACAAAAAAAAAAAGAAAAAATAGAAAAAAACCAAGCTGGGTATGTTGGCACACATCTGTAGTTCCAGCTACTTGTGAGACAGAGGCAAGAGGATTGCTCAAGCCCAGGAGCCTGAGGTTACTATGAGCTGTGATGATGCCACTGCACTCTACGCAGGGCAACAGAGTGAGACTCTGTCTCAAAACAAAACAAAGGCTCGGCGCCTGTGGCTCAACCGGCTAAGGCGCCAGCCACGTACACCTAAGGTGGCGGGTTCGAATCCCCAGCCCGGACCCGCCAAACAACAATGACGGCTGCAACCAAAAAATAGCCAGGCGTTGTGGTGGGCGCCTGTGGTCCCAGCTACTTGGGAGGCTGAGGCAGGAGACTCGCTTGAGCCCAGGAGTTGGAGGTTGCTGTGAGCTGTGATGCCACGGCACTCTGCCCAGGGGGACAGCTTGAGGCTCTGTCTCAAAAAAAAACAAAAACCAAAAAGGGCAGAGGAGTAGATTCTGTTCTCTCTCCCCAACTACAAGACCTCATTACAGTGGTCCCTAAAAAAAGAAGAAAAAAAAAAAAGGCAGGATTCTCCATAAACTTCTCTATACCCCACCCCTCTTGTCCTCCACAACTTATTTCTTTTTTCTTTTCTTCTTTCTTTTTTTTTTTTTTAGAGACAGAGTCTCACTTTATCACTCTCGGTAGAGTGTCGTGGCATCACAGCTCACAGCAACCTCCAACTCCTGGGCTTAGGCGATTCTCTTGCCTCAGCCTCCCGAGTAGCCGGGACTACAAGTGCCCGCCACAACGCCTGGCTATTTTTTTTGTTGCAGTTTGGCCGGGGCCGGGTTCGAACCTGCCACCCTCAGTATATGGGGCCGGCGCCCTGCCCACTGAGCCACAGGCACCGCCCAACTTGTTTCTTTCATATTTAGGGTTTTGCTTAGATGATGGAAACCACGGTGACACACAGCTGTTTTCCCTTTTCCCATTTTCCTTTCTCATATCTGCTGACATCAATATGTACACATTTCAAAGCGACAGTGACTGTGGGGTTTAACTCACTTGCAGAAGCTCATAGCCAGTCTCACAGAAGATGGAGAAGTTGTCTTTCAGGATGTATTTGGCTTGCATGGGCGAGATGTGGCCATTAGGTGGCGCCATCGGGTTAGGGCACGGCAGGGCTGCACGGAGGAACGTGGGCTTACTGGTTGTCATGTGGTCTATAGTGGCCAGATTGAATTTAGCAATCCCGAGTGAAACACTTAACATGTAAAGAAGGCTTGCCACAAATGGGGTAGGGTTCTCAAGATTTAAAACCAAAGGCAAGATGAAACTCTTTACTGCTTGTGTACAAATTAAGATTTGTTGCTTTGCTTGGAACTTGAGAAAGCCAGGGATGTGTACCGAGATAGTGCAGTCTCCACATATGGAGGGTCTAGCCCAGGCCAGGAACTATATGCTCTGCTGAGGCCACCAAGACACTGCTTTCCCCTCTGTCCCCCCCTCAACCCGTCCTATGCTCTCTCTGTGGGCTCTCACCTTGTACTTATGACCTTCCCTCAGAACCTGCCAATCCATGGCTGAGACCCCTCCACCCTCCAACAGCTGCTCTCTGGGCCCAGGTCTCTGCGTGGCTTCTGACCCTCAGTCCCATGCAGGTCAGTCTCCAGAGACAGCCTTGGTGGCCCTGCGGGAGCCTAGGGCTTCTGTTGTTTGAGTGTCTGCTGTGAGGTAGAAGTGGAGTTCTGTCAGCCTCGGAGGACAGAGCTGGGGACAGTCGGACAACCGCATTTGCAGGCCCAGCTGCAGACTCCCTGAACAGCAGCCCTCGGCCATGCCCTCCATGATTACCCCAGCCCACTCCCAACTCCTAACTCATTCCCATACCTCCCCGTCCACAGCTGTGCACCTGGAACAGCCGAACTCTTGAATTTTGCACGTTCTCTTCCCTCGCCTGCAATACCTTTCAAAACTTTTATCCTTTAAACCCAATCTTGGTGGTTCCTGTCATGGGCACCCAGTCCCTGCTGGGCCAGGTCTCTCTTCCAGACTCTCACATTGCCCAGGGCTTGGCTCCCAGGCCGTGCCTGCTACAGGGCTTTGGTCGTGTTGCTTTGACCGTCCCCTCACTGATACAAGAGCAGAGGCTGTGAGGACTGTGGCATCTGCATTATGCGTCCCTGCTACACATCCACAGGATGGGAGCATGGGTGGACAGGGGGAAGGATGGGAGGAGAGGGACAGACAAGAGATGCCTCTCCTATGGGACCACTGCCTCACAGACCACCCCACTCAAACCTGGTCTCCCTTTCTAGGCCTAGCCCAGAAAGGGTTCCATCCTATACAGTTTCTTGACACCCCACAGAGGAGAGGGAACTTCTACCCTCCCCCAGGATCTGAGATCCATTTGCTCACCTGTGCTTGTGTAGTGGATCTTCCAGCCCTTGTGGTCCCCTGACTCATCGGTGACAAAGATGATGGTCACAGTGTTGCTCTTTGTTTCAATTCTGGGAGGCAATGTCTTTCCACAGAATGGACCATATTCCTCTTTACCTGTTTGAATCTGAAAAAGAGGCCTCTGAAACCACAGGACCTGCTGCCAGGGGTCCTGCCTGGGTCAGAGGGGAGCCACCCCCACCCCAGGCAGTTCAGGGAGACAATGATAGGGCAGACCCAGGTGGAAGATGGAGGATCCCCCCGAGCCCTCACTCAGAAGGCTGCAGCCTGACTTGGACGCCCATGGAGTGTCTGCAGAGGGACGGGGTTCGTTCAGGGGGACAGAAGCATGGGGACAGTGCTGCAGGAAAAGGGGGCAGCTGGGCTGAGGGGGAGGGTCTAGACAAGGTGAGGGCCCCAGGAACCAGACCTTGAGGGAGTCATAGGGGCACTGGGTTTCAGGGTGCGCCTCCACATCAAAGAACTCCACGAAGTCCAGGATGACACTGAACCCCTCCTCCAGGCGGATGCTGTAGGTACAGCTGGAGAGTTTGGGGTAAGGCCGTGGGAATTCAGGGCTGCTGAGCTCCCCAGACCGCTCAGTGGAGACCTGGCCTGAGCACAGGGCTGGGAGGACAGAGGATGGGGTGCGGTGATTGGTGCCTCCTCTGTCAGCCCAGACAGCAGGGTGCTGCCTCTGAGGAACAGGGTGAGGGGCAGGGATATGGCTGGGACATCTATGACCCTCCCCTTCAGCCCAGCTGCCTCCCCCCTTTCCTGTCGGCCAGCAGCATCACCAGAAACCAAGCATCCTACCCTGTGGCTGAGGACTTTGGGAGGGGACTTCTCTTGCACTGGGGCTTTAGCTGAAACAGGCGGCACTTGGGATTTGGGATGGAAGTTGGCCAGAGGGCCCACCTTGGGTGGGTGATGGGCATCTGGGGCCAGAGTCACAACCCCAGAAGTGAAGACAAGTCTTGCCAGACTGCAGGGGAGGGAGATGGTGCCAGAAGAAGGGAGGATTCAGAGCCAGGACAAATCCTTGAGCCCAGGGGTCCTTTCCAGGTTCTCCAAAATCCCTTAAGGCCAGCAATTCCCAAGTTTATTGACCAGAATTTTCCCATGGGCACCCAGCCAGGACCAGCCCAGCTTCCCCTGGTTCCAGGGAACAATCAGGAAGGGGCTGGACTCTGCCTGGGGGCAATTTAGGAAGCTCCTCACCAGCTGATTCTGGTCTGGCAAGATGGAGGCGGGGAAAGCTCCATCATTTGTGGGAGAATCTGTCCCCATTATTGTTGCCACTGCCTCCACCCCAGGCTGGAGGGATGGGGGTGGCCGGGCACAGTGAATGCAGGTTCTGGAGCTAGGAGGCTTCTAGGGCAATCCTTGGGCAGACCAGACTGCCCCTCAGTGAACCTCCCTGGGTCTCCCCAGTCTGGACCAGGTCCCCCCACCCCCAGTCAGTACCCACGGAACAAGAGGTGACCAAGAGTGCTCTGAGCTCAGCCTCTGGGGACCAGGTGGGGAAAGAGCCCTTGGTCTCCCCTCTCCTGTGAGAACTTAGGCAAGGCCCTGCCTATCTCTGAAGTCTCATCTTCAAAATGGGGCTAGAGAAAGCCCTCCTAGCCAAGGAACATATGTCCTATGGAGTGGGCTCCCACTGAACTGGGGTTCACCTGGCTGTGAGGAGGGTGGGCAGATAGGAGAGGCCCTTGGGTGCCCGCCAGGCCCGCCTTCACACCAAACCCAGAGACACACAGCAGCCAGTAAGGGGAGCAGGTTTATTGCTGAGGCCATGGTGGCTGCAGGGGCTACAGGCAGGTGGGGACTGTGGGGGCTGTGGGGGCTGCTGGCTGTAGCAACCTCGGCCTGACCCAGAGCTGTGGCCTGCGAAGTGCTCTGGCTACCGACACACAGGGCAGGCCGGAGCCCGCGGAGAGGCTAGAGGCTCTGCTCTGGAAGAGAGGAGGCAGGGTCAGTGCCAGGGTGGGGGTCCCATGGTGGCAGCCAAAGAGGTCAAAATGTGAACACTGACATTCTGTGGAGGGAGGGAGGCTGGAGAGCCAGGCTCAGCCAGAGGAGCTGGCCTAGGTCCCCCACTCTTCCCCCGTAGCTGGCTGGACTGTCCCCTACTGGACTGAGAGCTGAGGCTATGGGGACTGTGGTCCAATGGGGAAAGTGACTATACAGGGGCTTCAGGTCCCAGATAGTGCCAGGCACACAGTGGGGACCTGACACATGCTGACCAGAGTCAGCTGAAGGGGAAGAGAGAATGAGGTAGGGATGGGGGTGGGGGTGGGGGTAGGAAGGGGAGGAAATCCCAGTGGGAACCGCGGGGGAGGGGCAGAGGTCAAAAGCGGTGGGGAGAGGAGGGCCAGGGCCTGGGGTTCTCCACTTCCAGGCAGAACAGCAGTGATGGCCTTGAGCCAGGAGGGTCCTGGGCAGGGCGGGGTCTGGCCCAAGCTCCGGGTCCCCCATGCCTTCAGCCCGCTCACCTGAGCACGTATGCTTGTTCCTGTGGAGGACGTAGCCTGAGCGGCAGGAGCAGTAGAAGCCGCCCAAGTGGTTGTGGCAGTGGTGGTCACAGGCAGGTGCCTCCTCCGGGGACACCTGGCACTCATCAATGTCTGCAGGGAGAGGCAGGCAGTCAGGAGGGGAGGAGGAGGGACAGTTCTCTGGGCCTGAGCATGGACTTGGAAGATCAGCCCTCTCAGTGGCTGCCCTGAGAGGCCTCATTGTGCCCTGAGGAGGCTGGTGCAGAGCCAAGCCCTCTATGGGCCTAGGGTCATTGCAGCCTCCCTGTGACACTGGGAGGGAAACGCAAGAACGGCCACATTTTTTTTTTTTTTTTTTGAGAGTCTCAAGCTGTTGCCCTGGGTAGAGTGCTGTGGTGTCACAGCTCACAGCAACCTCCAACTCTTGGGCTTAAGCGATTCTCTTGCCTCAGCCTCCTGTGTAGCTGGGACTACAGGTGCCCACCACAATACCTGGCTTTTTTTGTTGTTGCAGTTGTCATTGATGTTTTAGCTGGCCAGGGCCAGGTTTGAAAGCACCACCCTCGGTATATCAGGCCGGTGCCCTACCCAATGAGCCACAAGAGCCACCCAGCATGGCCACTTTTTTTTTTTTTTTTTGCAGTTTTTGGCCGGGGCTGGGTTTGAACCCCCCACCTCCGGTATATGGGGCTGGCGCCCTACTCCTTGAGCCACAGGCACCGCCCATGGCCACTTTTAAACCAGTGAGAGGTTCAGTGTCCTGATGAAGGCCACCCACTTAGTGAAGAACATAGCCAGCAATCAAACCCAGGAGACACCAAACCCTTACAGCAACTTGTAAGGAGCACAGAGAGGTTGAGCCACTTGCCCAAGGTCACATTGCTGGTCTCTGCCAGGGTCAGAATCTAAAATCAAGCTCCATTAGTAGTGCTTGGGCTGAAGGGCGGTGCTGTGGCTCAAAGGAGTAGGGCGCTGGGCCCACATGCTAGAGGTGGTAGGTTCAAACCCAGCCCAGGCCAAAAAAAAAATCGTTGTGCATTTGGGGCAGTGCCTATGACTCAAAGGAGTAGGGCACCAGCCCCATATGCTGGAGGTGGTGGGTTCAAACCTAGCCCTGGCCAAAAACTGCAAACAAAACAAAACAAAGCAGTGTTCGGGCTGGTGGGGGAACCTCAGGGCCCCCAGCCCAGGTGGGGCTCAATCTGTGTGAGTGGAGTTTGTAGCTGTGACTGCTGTCTGCATTGCAGATGATGTCAGGCCATGGGTCCCTCTTGTGCCCCACAGGAGGTGGACACACAGAAGGCAGGGCTGACCCAGCTCAAGGGAGGGGTACTGTCCACCCCCAGCTGTGGACAGGCCATCCCAGGACGCTCCCGTCAGCTCACCCTCTGCCGTGTAGAAGGCCTCGAAGCCTGTGAATGGCTTTTCATTGGAGTAGTCAGAGCGGAAGGTGACGTCCAGGTGAGAGCCCAGCGAGTAGAAGGTGTCATTGCCAGGTGCGCGCTCCGTGTCTGTGCTCTCCCGCCCACACAGCGTGGCCAGCACCTTGGTCCCCGAGCTCAGCTGTGGGGTTGGGGGTCACGGGGAGGGGAGGCCAGACCCAAGCTTGTCCTCCCTCCTGGCCCAGGCCACCCTGCTCTCAGGTGTCTGTCTCTCAGCCCTGGACAGTCCTTGGGGACCCCCCAGGTCATCCCCAGCCCGCTGGCACCTTGACGAAGTCATACTCGCAGAGGTGGGAGAGCTCCAGGTCGAAGTGGGTGAAGTAGAGGCGTAAGCGGTAGCCGGGGGGAGCAGTTAGGGTCCAACGCCGCTCCAGGTCGTTGGCATATACACCCGGGAAGCCAGGCGATGCCAGGCGCCCAAACACGGGCTCAGGCCACTTCGGGCCCATGGGGGTGGCCAGGGAGAAACACATCAGGCTCAGGAGGACCAGCAGCCTGCGGGCAGGGTGGGGGCAGTGAGGGCCGAGGCCTGTTTTCTCCTCCCCAGCCAGCACAGCAGCCGTGGGGGCTCTTTCCCACCTCATGGTGCCCATCCAGCCAGCCAGGCCTGGTCTGGGGCTGCACGCTGTCCTCACCTTTGATCTGTTTGTCCGGTGACCTGGCCCTGGGATTCTGGGAATTGACCCCATGACGCCTGCCCGCCCAGAGTTCCGGGCAGGGAGGGGAGGGCAGCCCTCAGGAGCTCTGCTGCTCACCCATAACCCACGTTCCCACCTGAGTGAGTAGCCTCTGAGGTCCACCTGGGTCTCCATAACCCTCTGGGAGAGCGCTTCTGGGTGGAAACGGAGCTGTGGACACACGCTTCCCTCCTCGAATCCCAGAAAAGGCCATTCTGTGAACACATGGTTCCCTGAGGAAACGGAGAGCATCACCTGGGTGGAAACAGTTGTCTAGAAAGCACCTTTTAAGCCCACAGTGGAATCTGTGGTGCCAGGTCCCTCTGGCTATGTTTGAGAAATGGGCCAATCCCATGGCTTGGTGTTTGTAGCTCGAGTGCCTAGGGTACTGGCTACATACACCAAAGGTGACGGGTTTGAGCCCAGCCCCGGCCTGCCAAACAGTAATGACAACTACAGCCAAAAAATAGCTGGGTGTTGTGGTGGGCGCCTGTAGTCCCAGCTACTTGGGAGGCTGCGGCAGGAGAATTGCTTAAGCCTAAAGAGTGAGGTTGCTGTGAGCTGTGACATCACAACACTCTACTGAGGGCAACATAGTGAGACTCTGTCTCAAAAAAAGAAAAAAGAAAAAGAAAGAAAAGCTATCATAATTGACTCCCTGCTTCAGCTGTGAAGGGCTCTGCCCAGTTCTAATAGTGCAAATGCTGAATAACAGCTAATCACGGTGGACACAGCCAAGGCTGCAGATTAGGACTCAGGTGAGCTTGTTAGCCATAGAACGGAGAGAATCAGCTGGGGCTTTCTCCTGCTACACTTGCACACGCACAGAACACTTCTGTAACCACCTATATGGGAGTGTTCCCCCCGCCCCCACCAAGCAATTCATGCCACACCAACTGGGTGTCCTCTAACTCAATTCAGTCCTGACACTCCATACCTGGAGGTGGAGTCAGAGCCACAGGAGTCAGAGCTCCGCTCCCCAGACCGCCAATCGGGCAGCGGATTGTCACCTATACTGCTGACGACCTGTTGCAAATCAGGGTTCCCACTACCCTCTTTTTGGGCTTGACTATTCTGTCAGGGTGGCTCACAGAACTCAGGGAAACGCTTATATCGACTAATTTATTATAAAGGGGACAACAAGAGGTACAGACAAATAGCGGGAAGGGACGTGGAGCTCCCACGTCCTCTCTGGGGCATTGCCCTTGGGAACCTAGAACTCATCCATAATCTCATTGTTCCGTTGTTTTCACAGAGATTTGTCTCACCCCCTTTTCTGGAGGTCAGGCTGGGGCTGAAAGTCTTTCTGGTGACTGGCTCCATCCCGAGGGTGTCTAGGGACCAGACCCTATAATCCTTCCCTAATCACCTCATTAGCATAAACCCGGGTGTTCTGGAAAGGAGCTCCTTAGGAATGACAAAAGGCAGTCCTACCAATCAGGAAATGCCAGGGGTTTTAGGAATGTGACAGAAACTAGGGACAGACACCAAATATATTTACTATACTTCGGAAGATAATTAGCTGTAAGAGGAAAAGGTGAGGACTACTATTTCTCTCCTAACAAGACCCATGGAATTATAAATCCTGAAACCAGGAGCATCAGGAGTTTTGATAAATACATGAAATGGAAAAAAAAAAAACTTAGATAGATTTTATTCCCTGTGCCATAAATGGGGCCTGTTCATAGCCCTCTCCAAGGTTTCTGGGACTGGAGGGGACTCAGGTCATGTCCTTAAAAGCTGCTTCTTCCTCAGTAGACCAGCCAGATATGGGGCTCAGGGCTCATCCCTTTGAGGGGTGCAGGCATTGTGCATGACAGTAGCTGCAGGCAACTTCAACCTCCAGGTCACCACACTCAGGATCACAAATGGCCTCCAGCTGTTTCTGCAACCAGGGCACTCACTCCCTGCTTGCGTGGCCCTAACAGGTGATCCTGATTATCCACATCACACGTGCTTCTAATTGAAGCTGTATAACAGGCAAGCTCTGGCCACCGTCTTACAGTGTGGATGGGAGCTGAGTGGCTCCAGGTCATAGACTGACAGGAGGCCAAGTTGAGACTTACTATTAGATCAGGCTCCTGACCTCCTGAGGAAAGGCCCTCAGACTTAGGGGTCATGGGGTGGTTCCCACTTTTCTGCCAGCACCCTGCCTGCCTGGGTCCCTGTGGGGAAGATATGTTAAAATTAGGTTTTCTCTTCTGAAGGACAAGAGGTGCCTGATTGTTTTAAGTATGATTAAGCCAGCAGGTGCCGTGTGTTCCTAAGTTAGCCATCATTAGTGTTTAATTCGGAGCCACTGTTGTTCTGGCTACTACGGACAGCCAAGGCTTTCCACCTGTGGGGAAAGCTTCGTATGCTAGCTCACCTGCCCCTACAAACTAAACGAGGGCAGCTGTCCCCATGCCTTCTTGCTGGCCACCATGAGTTAAATAAAGGGCATGTCACAACGGCCTTTGGCTCCTTCATTCTTTTCCGGTTTATCCAAATCCAGTGTGAACTTTTTGGCCTCAACCATTGGCACTACAGTTCCTCTCAGGATGGACCTGCTCTGGGCTGGTGACAGTTGTTTGGAGAGGTTGTCCCTGCCTAGGGTGTCAGAGCTGAACCGTAGAGGCTGCCGGGCCCAGGCTGGGGTGAGTAGTGGCCCTGGCTGCAGGTCAGTTTTGTGGTAATGTCCCTTCCTCACAGGCGGTTGTGAAGATTAGGATGCCTGATTCCTCCACAGAGCGAGTGCACGGCCCTGCTAGGCCTCCTTTGGCCACCACTGGTTCTACTCAGGCCTCCCTGCAAGTGGGGAAACCTCGTAGCAGATGCCAGCGCTCCAGCCCACTGTAAAGTGCCCCAGGGTTAGGGGAATAATGGAGGTCAGCCAGAGGTCAGATCTGCAGAGTCAAAGGCCTGAATATACTCGTGGGGTGGGGTGGGCTAGGTGGGAGGGAGAGTTGGTGAAAAAGCTGGACCTTGCTCCCCTCCTCCCCCATTATTCCAGACACCTGAGGCTCATTCTTAGCTGAGCCAGGGCTCTCACTCCCAAGTTAACTCATTCTTGGCTCAGCCCTGCTCAGGGTGGAAAGGAGCTGACAACGGCAGCTTTTCCAGACAGGTCCTTTGTCTGCCACCCCCCTGCAAGGTGGGAGTGGGCTGGAGACTACCCCTTCCCTAAACCAGGTCCTGGTAGTGGGTCTTCCATGACCCCGAGTGCCTGGAGAACCAGAAACTGGAGGTTCAGCACCTTGGAGAGGGGACAGCACTGTGTCCACAGAGTGGCCACCCAACCTGCATTCTCAGCCTGTTCCACATGGGGAGGGCGTTGCTAGGAATTTGCGCGAGGGTACCCATGAATCGACAGGCAAGATGTGAACCAGCTCTTAACGCTGAGGAGTCAGGGCACTCTGTCACCTGGACCAGGGTTCAACTCCTCATCCTGACCTTCTGTGGTCTCCTCCCAGCACCCACCCTAGAATACCTGGGTGGGATCAGACGATCTTGTTAGTGGCCCAGTTTTCTCAGGACACTCTGGGGCAGCCTCGTTCTGATCTTTACAACCCCCATCCCTGACCCTGGGTAGGGGCTTTCACTGTGGCCTTGGGAGGGGCTTGGTAAAGGAATGACTAGCTTCCCTGGACAGATTTGGGTCCAGTTTGATGACTGCCATGTCCCTCTGTGCCACAGGTCAAGAAGTGAGCCCAAGGCTACACAGGAAGGGCCCTGCCATAGTTTAGCCTCTCAGTAGACACTTGTAGGCCAGATACCAGGGCCCATGCAGACTATACCCAAGAGAACCAGATGGCTGATGTGGCCTCTGTGTGGGCCCAGTCAAGGTCAGGGAACACAGGATTCTGAACTTTGTTATAAATACACGTGTTTGGTGAATGAAGGGGAACAAAGGCAGAGAGAGGTGCTGTACACAGCTGGTATAGGCATGGAGGCTGGATGCCCCAGAGAGACACACAGTCCGCCCAGCATCCTGGGGCCTGTAACACTTGGTTGGTGGGTGGTAGCTGGCAGGTCTGGTCTGGGGCTGGAGGGCCCAGGCACCCTGGAGGCTCCCTGGTTCCAGGTCCTGGGTGGTCCTAGGCTCAGCTCACATCATTCAGGGCCTGGTGGGATAGGAGGCCAGTCAGAAGGATGCTCTCTTGGGGGCCTGGGCCCCACTGCCCACTCTGGCAGCCACTCACCTTTCGGGCAAACTCGGGCAGTACAAAGGCTGCCCGGTGCACATCTGAGTTGTAGTATTTCAGTTGCATCTTTTCCACCTGCTTCTGTGTCAGCTGTTGCACTGGCTCCCGGAAGTTGGTGTTCTGGGGACCAAGGACAGAAGTGTATCAGGGGAGGGCTCACCATGTCCTGCCTGTCCCCCCATCTCCCACTGGCAGCCCCTAGCTCACTGGGTTTTTGCTGCACAGCATGAAGCCAATCTGGCCGCTGGGGTAGGTGGGGATGGTGCAGTACGCGTAGGCCACCACTGGGAAGAGGGACTTGCAGAACTGGCGCATCTCCTTGATGAGGTCCAGGTGCAGCCACTGGCACTCACCTGGTGGTGGGAGGGGAGTCGGGGTAGCGTGAGCATCGGTCAGGGCTGGCAACACCCTGTATTCCTCCCACCCCCAATGCCATTCAGTAGCTCACCCTGGCAACAGAGAATGCCATCCTCCTTGAGGGCTGTCTTCATGAGCTGGTAATATGACTCCTTAAAGAGGCTTTCAGCAGGGCCTGCAGGGAACGAGGGACAGAGGAACAATGAATACAACCTGGCTGAAACATCAAGGGCCAATGTGATCCCACCACACAGGTGTCCAGCTTATGAACTTTGGGAAGTAACCTGGCTTCATCCTAATGTCTTGAGCCAGGATTGAGGGGAGAGGTAAAAACTTTTCCTTCAGGGGAATGTACAGCTCTGATATTTTCATCTTTTATTCTTTGAGGGGTGCTGTCCTCTACCCTGGAAAATAGGCCTGGGGGAGGCTGGCCTCCAGAGGGCGCTGGTGCTCCACCCTTTGCTTACCCATGGGGTCCGAGGAGTCAGTGATGATAACATCAAAGGCATCCTGATTCTGTTTCATGAACTCAAAACCATCACCTACATGGAGCGTCAGCTTTGAACTGGAGTAGCCAATGGCCATGCCAGGCAGGAACTTCTTAGAGACTTGGATGACATCCTGGAAGGGACAAGAAGGACCAGGTTGAAGGTGGGGGAGTTCTAGAGCTGGACACAGCCATGTGGAACTCCCTCAGTGACACTACAGCCCAATCAGCTTGGGCAAGCCCTTCCCTTTTTTGGAACCCCAATAAATGGGGAGAACCCTGGTACTTCATCTCCTACCATCCTGTTCCCTCCCCCCCAAACCAAATCACCCCCATCTAAGTGGCTTTCTTGCTGTTCCCTCTTTCAGAAGGATGCAAGTCCAACCTCTGGCCAGGAGAAGCTTCTCCTGCCTCCACACAGCCACCTGCTTCCAGAAGCCTCTGCTCAAATGCCAGCAATCTCCTGAAGGCTTGCCTTGTGATCACCCTCCAGGCTTGGGAGGCACTCCACCTCCTCCAGTGTCCCCCACCCTGTCTCGCCTTTATCAGATCACACTTTGATGTCACCTCTAACTATAACATCAGCTCTGAGGGGGACAGGGACCAGCTTGTCCACCACTGGACCCCAGCACCTGAAGCAATACCTGGCAGAGAGTAGATGCCAACTAAAAACGTGCTGAGTGCAAAGGGTGGATGCAGCTGAGATGTCCCTGAGTTCTAGCCTGGGACTTAAAAATTAGCTTTCATACTAAGAACTACTGTTGAACATGCCCTCACTATGTGCCAGGCCCTTTGCTACCCAGTTTTCCTATGGACCCCTCCCATCATCTGTTTTCCAGATGAGGAAACAGGCCCAGACTTGTTAAGTGCCTGGCCCAAGGGTGTGCAGCCAGTTCAGGGCACAACGGGCCAGGGAGGCAGAGCCAGCCCTCAGACCAGGCCTGCCTCCCCTGTGCAGGAACTCACCTCATCAATCTCACACTGGACCACCGACTCCACAGAGGGGTGCTTCACCACTTCCCGAAGGACACCTCCATCACCACCCCCGATGATCAGCACCTGGAACAGGACAGCAGTCAAGGAGCCCAGGTGGGCTGAGCCCAGGCACTCACACAGAAGCACCTGCAAACCTCACTTCATTCTCTCCCAGCCCCAGGTGTCCCTCTTCCTAGAAGCCCTCAGGACAGAGCATGTCAGTGAGGGGGTTCCCACTCTGGTCTCCTACAGACTCCCCCTGTCCTTCCCAGCACTTGCTCTGACAATCCTTTCGGCAGCATCTGGCTGAGCCCAGGGCACACCTGGGTCTTGGGACACAGCTCAGAACTGAGCTCTGACAGGGATGTGAGACCGGGTACCTTTCGGGGGCTGGGGTGGCTGCAGAGAGGCAGGTTGGCTATCATCTCCTGGTAGGAAAACTCGTCCCTCTCCGTGCACTGGATGACGCCATCCAGCACCAGCACGTTGCCGTAGGTCTTACTGCAGGCGGGGTGACAGTCGGGAACTTGGGTTCTCTGGGGTGGAGGGAACGTGCCCCAACCCGCCCCTGGTGAGGAGAACCTCCCACACCCCGCCGGGGGTCCTAGAGTGAGAAGCAACGGTGACACGTGGCGAGGATGGCGGGCAGGCTCGCTGGGTGGGGGCTGGACTCGGGGTCTCCTCTGGTTCTGACGTGTCCCGGGACTGACACGTGGAGCTCGGTGCAGACTCCAGCTTCCTCTCTCTTAGAGGCCGCCCGAAGCGCCAGCCCCCGGCCGAGGGAGCCGGGATGCAGGGTGGAGAAGGCCCGCAGGAGGGCACCGGCCTACTTCCCAAGAACTTCTGACAGTTTCGCGGGGGGAGCAGCGGCTCAGAGGGGCGCCGGGAGGCAGGACATGGGCCAGACCGAAAAGAGGGTGGTCTGGGCCAGAATTAGGGCAGGGCGGGGGCCGGCTGGGGTCCCTGCTGGGAAGGACCCTGCCGGGTGGGCAGTGGACGTAGTGCCGAGGAAGACGGGGGCGGTGGTACCTGCGGAAGACGAGGATATCCTGGTACCGCGAGCGCTGATGGTGGAGAAGCTGCTCTACCTGCAGCGACAAGGCCTGGCCGGGCCACAGGCTGCACGTCTCACGGAACCAGCCCTCGCGGATGGTGGCGGGGCCAGAGGGGTCAGGGCCGTCGGGGCCGGACTCCATGGCGGGCGGGCGGGCGGCGCTGGGCGCGGAACGCGGGCCCGGGACTGCAGGCCGCGCGGAGCCGCAGCACAACGGGACCAGCTCCGCCCGCCGCCCGCGCCGCAACCTAATCCCGGCCGCAGGCGGGGCCTGCTGGAGGGGGCGGGGCAAACCCCCGCCAATGGCAGCGCGGCCATGCCGGGCGCTCATTGGCCGCCGGCCCGCTTCGTGGCGCCCAGTGGCCGGGGCGCCCTGTCCGTCGGCGGCAGCAGGGTAGTGCGGTTCGCTCCGGAGCCACGTGGGGCTGGGGCCGGGAGGCCGGGCCGGGGCCAAGGGGCGGGTTCCCGGGCCGAGGGGCGGGCCAGCGTATGAGGTCCTGGTCTCTCCTACGGCCCTGGGCCTGCTGAGGCTGTGCGCTCCGGCTCCTGTCCTCTCCCCGTGGTTTGGGGGCACCCAAGGCCGCGCGACTCAGGCTGGGCGCACACTGTTGCGGTGCTGCGACGTGAGGACCGGGATTTAAGCCTTTAGGCTGGAGAACTAGGAGCGGGTAGCTACATTGTAGGGCAAGGGGTTACGTTGTTGGGTGGAGCTAGAGAATGTATCCCTCCCAGCGTCCACAATTTGGCTCCCTGTTGGACAGATTGTGTGGCTCGTCGGGACACACTGAGGATTTTCACTTAAAAGGGTCATCACTGCCCGCGATTTAACAAGCTAGATTTAGCCGGTTCCCAGAGCTATGAGCTATGGCTGGCGAATAAGAGAGAGAAGTGCTTTTCTAAATTTACCAGCACCGTCCAGGAAGAGGCCCAACACATGCATATTCAGCACCAGAAAAGACTGGCACGCAGATTTTCTTGACAAACTGGGTCTCGCTCCTGGAAGAGTAAGCGGGAATGTGCTGTTTTTATGGAAATGTCAAGGAACTTCTCTGAATCACATTAAGCATGCTAATTACCAAATATTAAATGCTAATTGCTCTACTCCCAGTTTGAATGCCAAGGAAAGAAGATGAAACCGGTATAAGCTACCCGTGACATTATGTCAGGGATGTTTTTTGATTGACGTTTTGCACTCTCCACCTGGCGGTGGGGAGCATGTTCCCTCTCTCTTAAGCTGAGTAACATGATGTTTATCAAAGAGACCAAGCCTCAGGACGTGGGGCATCCACATGCCTTGATTGACCTTAAGCTCCTTTAGAAAGGGAGATATGCCCAGGGGTTAAAGAACTGCCAGGTGACAGTTCTCACAGGTGTGTTCTATCACCCCAGATTATTAACAAAAGGTGATTACACACCAGATGCAGTCATTCAGTATGTCCAATTACTACAGGTTTTATTGGGTCCAGCTCTGTACTTGGCTCAACGTGTTCATCTAACAGCCTAAACTTCCTCCAAGACATTTCTGTCTCTGGGTGCTATTTGCTGACTTGTCTGCATTTCCTGAGCCAGAATATAAGCTCCCCCAGGCTAGGGATGGTGCCTGTAGGAGGCAGGCCCAGATAAGGGCTGGTGCCTTGTGGATCTTGGTTTTATTCTAGGTGGAGCACAGTGACCCTCCACTGGGGCCCTGGCATTCCAGAGCACAGCATGATAGGAAAGTGGAGGATCAAGTCCATCCCATGTCTCCTATGACTTGAACCAAACTGCTCCAGCATGTGTGCCTCAAGTGAGGAGGCCCATAATGACATCCTTTGCTCTCCTATAAAAGAGGTGAAGCCAAGGGATGGAATGTATAGGAGTTGCTTGAACCTTCCAAGTGCACAGAAAACAAAGACCTTGAACACACTAGTTAAAAATTCCATGAGCTCAGAAATGTCACCTGAGTGACATGAGCTCAGAAATATCCTCCTTGTGACCTGTTTCATTCAGGTCACAGGAGGAAAAACTGATTTTGCCAGAAGAAGCCATTACTTCATAGCCCAGTTAAAACCATAATGGATACTAAAACCCCAAATGGACAAAACTACGTTATAGCACAGACTGTTTCCCTAAATCCAGCCCAATGTGCATTTAACATTCAGATGTACAGCACTACTACCTGGGGGGCTGGCACCCCCAATCTCCTAAAAGTGTTGATATTTTATAAAAAGAAGTCTGCGTGAGGTTGCTCATGCCTGGATTCCTAGCACTTGGGAGGCTGAGGTGGGTGGATTGCCTGAGCTTACAGGTTCAAGATCAACCGGAGCCACAGTGAGACCGCATCTCTAAAAAGTAGCTGTGTGGCAGGTGCCTGTAGTCCCAGCTACTCAGGAGGCTGAGGCAAGAGAATCACTTGAGCCCAAGAGTTTGAGGTTGCTGTGAGCTGTGATGCCACAGCACTCTACCGAGGTTGACAAAGTGAGACTGTCTCAAAAAACAAACAAAAAATACAAATTATATATATAAGAGGAAGAAGAGAGAGTAAGGAGGTGAGCCAATGGCTGCTGTCTAAAGCAATGGTTTAAATGGGGTTGCCACATGGTTATTTGTCCCTGTTCAGACACACTTCCTAGGCAGTTAGCACTTGAGAGTCCTTTTTGAAGCACTGTGTTTCATCAGGGAGGCAGCTGTGGTTGAGTGGAAACAAATGTGGCCATTAAGTGGCGGTGCCTGGTTGAAGATGCTATGGCAAGCTGCCTAAGGCACCGTGAACAGCAGCATGCCTTCTGGAGCAGAGAGCCCTTCTGCTCACATTCTCTGCCTCTGACCCTGCCAGCCCTGCCAGATTCCTTTCCCCTCTTCTGGAGTACAGGCCCAGCCACAGCACTCCAAACTTCAGTGCCTGACTGGTTGGCTTTCAAACCCCTGCACATGTGCTCCGAGAGTGACTTGAGCCCCTGCCCTTCTCTGAACTCCCTGAGGCTGTCATCTTTACCCGTTGGCCCAGTGGCCCTGGACTCCGGGTTCCATGGGCCTATATAATGTGAAAACATCTAGGAATAAATGTTGGGTTGCCAACTTTATTTTATTTTTTTTGCAGTTTTTGGCCAGGGCTGGGTTTGAACCTACCACCTCCGGCATATGGGGCCGGTGCCCTACTCCTTTGAGCCACAGGTACCGCTGGGTTGCCAACTTTTTATTTGTAAGAAGTGACATTTACAAAGACCTCAAACTCCTACTGTTTGTGGTCCTCATTTTTAAGAAACAAACAGAAAAACATTGTAAGAAAGAATTAGTAAGGAAAACCCGACGAGGAACCATTTTAACTCTCTGGGAGACTGTTCTCACTCACCTGACCAGCAGTGACCTGCTATGCCTGTTCAGCCAGGTTTGGGGCCTGAGGCCTTAGCTAACCATGTGGTCTCAAACCACAGCAGGCAGGATCACCTGGAGAGCTGGGTGAGCACCAAGTCCAGGCTTCTGGGTGGTCATGGTGGTCCCAGTTTCTTTTGGACAAGCTCCCGCTGGGCTCTGAAGGAGCACGAGGATACAGAGCTCTCCAGACTCCTCTCCTTCCTCTTTAAGGTCCAGCCTAAATGCCCCATTCCTAAAGCCTCTCAGACCATCCTCAGTGGAAAATAATGTCTCACTTTAAGAAATGTTCCATCTTTGTCCATTTTTTATAGCAGAGACTGCCACTCTTTGTCAGTGATTGCTACTTGTCACTCAATGTCCATTCTTACAAAATTCTATAATGGAACCCTGTTATTTTCAGTTGGATACATAGAAGACCAAAATAGTATTTCCCATTACCCTTTGCTGTGATCATGTGACAAAGTTCAGACCAGTGGGAAGTAGAAATGGGCAGTATCCTTTTAAAAGAGAGATAGGGCCAGGCGCTGTGGCTCATGGCTGTAATACTAGCACTCTGGGAGATCAAGGCAGGTGGAATGCCTGAGCTCAGGAATTTAAGACCAGCCTGAGTAAGAGCAAGACCCTGTCTCTAACTAAAAAATAGAAAAAAAGAAAAAAAAGAAAAGAAAGAAAGAAAAAGAAAAACTAGTCAGGTGTTGTGATGGTGCCTGTAGTCCCAGCTACTTGGGAGTGTGAGGCAAGAGAATCATTTAAGCCCAAGAGGTGGAGGTTGCTGTGAGCTGTGACACCACAGCACTCTACCAAGGACTCTGGGAGGCCAACATAGGTGGATTGCTTGAGCTCAGGAGTTCAAGACCAACCTGAGCAAGAGCAAGACCTTATCTCTAAAAAATAGCTGGGGGTTGTGGCGGGTGCCTATAGTCCTAGCTACTAAGGAACCTAAGGCAAGAGGATAGCTTGAGCCCAAGAGTTTGAGGTTGCTGAAACTAGGCTGATGCCATAGCACTCTAGCTTATGGCAACAGAGTGAGACTCTGTCTCAAAAAAAAAAAAAAAAATAATGTAAATAAATAAATAAGAGATTGGGGCCGGGCAGGGTGACTTACATCTGCAATCCTAGCACTATGGGAGGTCAAGGCAGGAGGATCACTTGAACCCAGGAGTTTGAGGTTGCTGTGAGCTAGGTTCACGCCATGGCACTCTAGCCTGGAGAATAGGGTGACACTCTGTCTCAATAAAAAAAGAGAGAAAGAGAGATTGCATGTTTTTTTCTCTTTCAGCTGACTGGAATGAGAATGGCTGGAACTAGAGCAGTCACTGTGGACCATGAAGCGTAAGACCTGTGTTTGAATTGAAGATGGTAAAATAACAAGGTATGAACCTGTGTCTGAGATCTCAAGTGGCCATACTAGATCTGGACCAACGACATTTACAGAACAAAGAGAAACATCTCTCTTAGTAAATCCCTGGTAGTTTGGCTTTCCTGTCATGTTTTTTTTTTTGAGACAGAGTTTTACTTATGTTGCCCTTGGTAAGAGTGCCATGGTGTTACAGCTCACAGCAACCTCAAACTCTTGGGCTTAAGCAATTCTCCTGCCTCCGCCTCCCAAATAGCTGGGACCACAGGTGCCCACCACAATGCCCGGCTATTTTTTGGTTGCAGCCATCACTGTTTGGTGGGCTGGGGCTGGATTTGAACCCGCCACCTCAGGTGTATGTGGCTGGCACCTTAGCCACTTGAGCCACAGGCGCCGAGCCCTCAACAATATTTCTTACCATTTGGCTTACCTCATGTTACCTGAAGGCCTGTGAAGGTGGTAAAATGCCCACAGACCTCTCTTAAGACGCAGTCAGACAAGCACATGCCCTGTGGCTCACAGATGCAGCCCCTGTCTGGGTTACAAAAGGTCCTTCCGCAGTCTTCTTCAGAAGTGGTTCTGGATCTCTCTAGAACTTACAGTAACCTCCAAGGTCATGCTTACCTTTGTCCGCAGATAGCTGAGGATGGTAATCAGGACAGGACAGGGTCTGTCCTCCCACCAGAAATGTAGTGGCAGCAAAAGAAAAGTAAGGAACCAGCTTTCTCCCAGTAAGAATTATTTTTAATGGTTTAAAAATAGGTCTGTACAAAACCAGCACCTCCATTTGGTGCCTCCAGTCCACTGAGGGGTCCCAGAGGTTTCTTCCAACACTATCTCTTTGGCCAATTGTACCTGAAGCCTCTGCAGAGACAATAGAAAAACAAGGGTTACTTTTTCCAATTTGGCTGGATGTTTGTTCTCAGCATTTTATAAAACATTGCGACCTTAATCATGTGCCACTGAGGGAGACTCAGCTGGGCAGCAATGTATCCCCCACAGTCCTGGAGACAGGACTGTGGCCGGGGGCAGTGCTCTGTGGCCACAGGCTTGGCTGGGCAGACCTGTTCCCTACTGGGGCATGCCCTTGGGGTGAGTCCCCTGATCTTAGGGTCTGCTCAAGTACTAGGATTTCATGCTTTTAAACTGAGACATTTCTTTTTTCTTTTTTTGTAGAGATAGAGTCTCACTTTATTATCCTCAGTAGGGTGCTGTGGGATAACACAGCTCATAGCAACCTCTAACTCCTGGACTTAGGTGATTCTGTTGCCTCAGCCTCCCAAGTAACTGGGACTACAGGCACCTGCCACAATGCCCGCTATTATTTTGTTGCAGTTTGGCCGGGGCCAGGTTTGAACCTGCCACCCTCAGTATATGGGGCTGGCATCCTACCCACTGAGCCACAGGCACTGACCACTGAAACATTCTAATAAAAACAACCCACATTTGCTTATTGATTTTTTTCTCATTCCTAAGAAACAGGCTAGTCTAAAATTTCGTATGTATTTGCTTTGAGGTGATCCCAGGAAATGATATAATAATAGCAGAGAGCTCAGAATGAGGGGAATTTGAGTCCTGGGATGCAGTGACTGGCTGTGTGGCATAGAACAAACCCCTTCCCCTCTTCTGTTTTCTGAGTAAGAAGGAGAGGGACCTGGCTTTGGGAGACTTTCTGAGTCTTCTCAGTTGAGACCTCTGGGTGCTCACTCTGAGACTGTTCCCACAGAACAGTACCAAGCATGGCAGATGCATCGTCTCCGGGCTCCCTGGATCTCAAGGGCTGTCAACCACATACCTGTCTGACTTCCCAGTTGCAAAGGACATGCTTTTGTTTCCCACTGACTGTCTAAGTTTCTTGGCTGCAATGCACTTCTGAAAAGATAAGAAACAATTTAAGCTAAGTAACAACCTTGACCACAAGATATATAGAAAAATACACCTGAGCTCAGATGGTCAAAGACTCCAGCACAGGTATGAACGTGGTTTCATTTAAAGTTGAAATTGCTGTGTCTCTAAAAATTTGGCTGTTAGGATGTGCTACAAAAGGATCAGGGCATCTGTCCATATGAGCCTCAGCCTCCACAGGCTGAACTGCAGCCACGTTCAGTCTGACTGGCACCGACCCAACACCCACACGGGGCAAATGCAGGCTTGTGCAGGCCCCAGAGGGAGTGCTTCTGTCCTGTGGCTATAGTTGCCATAGCAGCAAACACAGAGTTAATACGCTGTAAAATTGCACAGCAGCTTTTATGGCCTTTTTAAATTGCTAGAATAATTGATGGGTATTGTCTATACCTAGGAAGAAATGAGGTGAGGAAAAAGATAAGCAAAGGAAAAGAATTTCTAGATGGACCCATCTTCCCAGTAGAGGAAGAGTCAAAAACAAGCCCCACAGGTGTGCTGGTGCCCCCAGCGTAGTTCTTACCTTGCCAGATGGGGTCTGCTTATTTGGATCAAACTGGGAAGAAGGTTTGGATTTGCTGTTTCCTGCAAGGTAAGAGAGGCCAGGACCATGGAAATGAGTTAATATACACACGGACTCACACAGGTCATGGCAGGTGCCACATTGGCAGGTGCCGAGGAACTTACAGCTCACACCACTTAACATCTTATACTCCTGGTAACTGTGGGCAGCCTGAAACCTAGGCCTAGTTCTCACACTCTAGTCTCAGGGTGTTCTGGACAGGTGCCCAATGCAGTAGCCACTCTCACATCAAGGAAATCCCTTCTGATCTGAATGTCAGATGACATGTGAGTGACCTGGGCTCTGAGGCAATGTTCCTGCATAGGGACCACTGTATGCACTGTCACACTCTGCTCTCTCTCTCTTCCAAGGGGACGTGTTGCTACAGAAGCTGCTTGAGAGTCAGGGAGGCCATTCACTGCGCCTTCAGAGCAGGTGGATTCACAGCCTAAGGGGCCACAGGAGATGTAGCTTAAGGGCTACAGGTTTTTTCAATAAATAAATTTCAGTGAGGGGAGGGAGAGACATGAACGTGTGTGTTTTGGGGCACAAGTTACTGAGAAGGGACAAAGTTACTGATCACAGTGGAAGTGACAGTCACCTTGCTAAACCAGAGGCTACTGTGAGAGTGAACTCCAGGGGAGGAGGGTAGTGACGGCCAGCAGGCATCCATTCCTGTCCCTTTGTTTCTCCGGTGGCTCTGACCACTTCTGTTGGTGGCCTGTCTAGGGCAGGGCTTACTCTGCAGCTAAGCTGTGCTTTCTTTATTCTCTGGCTTCCTCCCACCCAGAATGGCCAGATGCCCCCTCCCCATGCTCTGGTACTTCCTTACCAGCAAAGGCCTTGAAGTCTGACTGGCTGTAGTCATAAGGGGTAAAATCTTTCTCGGGCAGATCTGAGTCCTTAGGCTTCTTGGAAACTTTGAGTCGCTTCTTCTCCTGCTTCTGTTCTGTGGTCCTGGGGTCGCTCATCGTCCGCTCTCTCTTCTTAGCAGCACTTTCCAGCTGCGCAGCAGGGAGGGGGACAGGTGAGGAGAGACTCCCAGGGCTCCCGAGAAGACCTGGGGATCCAGCTTCCTATATGGCATAGAGCCTGTCCAGTGGTGGGGAGAGGAGCTGTGGCTGGAACTTGAAGGATTATCACACTTACTGCCAACTGGAGCAGGCTCCTCAGTGGACAATGGTATCAGGCCACTTAAGAAAGGCAGCATATTACTTGGGAGGCTGAGGCAAGAGAATCGCTTACGCTCAAAAGTTTGAGGTTTCTGTGTGAGCTGTGACACCACAGCACTGTACCAAGGGTGACGTAAGTGAGACTGTCTCAAAAAAAAAAAAAAAGGCAGCCTTGAGAATTCCACAGGGCTCTGGGGGTGATAGAGGGGACAGAACACTTCCTGGGGCAGAGGGACAAACAGGCTGCAAGGCCCTGTCTCCCACCACTGCTGAGTGGTGTGGCAGATAGGGGATGCCCTCCAAGAGAAGGGGCCACTTAGCTCTGCCGAGGGGATGCGAAGAAAACCTAACGGACAAGCCAGTACGGGCTGGGGAGAAAGCACTTCACGTCCAGCACAGGGTAAGCCCCAGGTTGCCCTATTTCTTAGAAATAGAAAAGCCAGCACATACTGCGACCTGTTGTCGGACGGAGAGAGCTGGCTCCTCTGCGGCTTCCTGCTTTTCCTTCACCTGTTCCTGAGTAGCTGCGTAAGAGAGAACTGTCTGTGGAGCTGAGTCCAGGAGTTCACCCCCCACCTTCCTCACTTGGCCCGTGCAGCTGTGCCTCCCACCCTTCCTCCCCCCATCCCTATCCCTACAGGCCACTTGCCTTGGGGCTCAGGCCCACCCTCTCCTGCACGCTCCACCTGAGAACCTCCCCCAAACCCAGGCTAAACGTCCTGTGGCCTATTTGATGGCAATTTGGGGCTGTTTAACAGGGATCACAGCCATCACAGTCAAGGACTATAACCATAACCTCTTCCCCTCCAGCCAGGTCCTCCGTCGTTTCCTTGCACCGATGGCAACTCCACCTTTCTAGTTAGCTGCTCAAGACAAAACCTTCTAGCATCCACGCTCCTTTCTTCCACTTGCCACACTCAGCTCATTGTCAAATACTGTCAGCTCTGCTGTAGGCCACATCCAGGTTCTGACAACATCCATCCTCTGCCACCACACTGGTCCAAGTCCCTGTCCCCTTTCACTTGGACTACTAGCACGTCTCCTAAGGTGGCTCCATTTTTTTCTCTACAATCTACCCTTAACAGAGCAGCCAGAGGGCTCCTGGTAACAGGTTAAGTCAGTTCCTTTGCCTCTTCTGCTCAGGACCCTTCAAGGTTCCCCAATTCTCCTGGAGTTAAGAGCCAAAATACTCCAGTGGGCCCCTCTGCTTCCTCATCTTCACCCACTCTGCCCAGCTGCAGGGGCCTCTTGCTACTGTGGGCATGTCTGGCAAGCTACTGACTGGGGCCTGTGGATTCACTGTGCCTTTAGTCTATAACACTCTTTCCTAGAACGCTATAGGCCTCTGCCCCGTGCCCTGTTTACTGGATTGCTTTCCCTAACCTCTGTCAAGAAATGGCCCACACTCCAGCCCAGCACTCCCTACATCTCTCTGCAGAGTAGGCAGGTGAGGCCTGCAGGGGGTCTGCACCCGAGTTGTTCACTCCAGCATCTGGCACTCTGCTGAAAGACTGAATCGACAGACTGCTGTCAGGGGTTGTTCATAACAAGAGTTTATGAGCAAGTGGGACATATACCTGTTTGTCTGGCTGCCTTCTTCTTGACAGTCTCTTTAGATTCTTTTTGTACCTGTACCTGGCTTGCCAGTTTCCAACGGTTGCTGATCTATAAAGAAAACAAACATAACAGACTCCGAATCTCTGCCACCTAGGTATGGGTTACTTTTAATGAGGTGACACTGGACATGCTAAGCTAGTAAGTACACACGTTCTAGTCATAAATCTAGGCACACAAAAAACAAAATCTCATGCTGGCTTTATTTATAAAATCCTTATTTAGGATGACAAAGTACAAATGTGCTCCAGGAACAGGGCTGGAGGCTGTCCCATCCACTGTCTTATTCAGTCCCTTCTGTGACCCTGAGACAAAGGCACCAGCATCACCACTTCTTTAGAGACAAGCAAACAGGCTCAGGGAGGGTAAATAACTATTCCAGGGGACACAGCTAGCAAATGGTGGAGGCAGGTTCAAGGCAGGGCTTCTGCGTGTCTGCTGTGCTTCTCTGATGCCACGTGGACCTGTGGCATTAGAACGCACCTCCATAACACTGACCACAGCATGGCAAGGGATGCACAGTTGTTCAATGTGCCACAACCAGTGGGGGAAATGAGGAGAGAAGGCAAAACCCCACCTGACTCTCCACCCCTAAAAACAGCAGGCTAAGCCACAGCGGCAAGGCCAGGCCTCTCAGGGTTTGGCCTAATGAGGGGACTGTGCTGCCGGGCGGGGCCGCCCATGTCAGCAGAGCGGCCGCTCCCTGCAGGGAGGAAGGAGGCTGTTAACAGACATGGACACGCTGGCTCCCAGGAACACCTCATGGGGATCCAGGGGAGGTGTGTTCTTATTCTTATTCATAATGCTGTTAAAAACAAATCAAACAATATAAGACAGATGTTTTAAAATTAAAGCTGTTACCTTTAAATGCCTTAAAGTAACATATATCTGTAAAAAATGCATCAAGCTATACATTTAGTATTTGTATACTTCAGTACATATAAATTAAACCTGAATTTAAAAAACGAAAAGAAAGAAATGTTTCTTAAAAGGTCTCTGAGTAGTTCTGAGGATCTGATGGAAGTTCTGGCCCCTCTCCCTAGAAACAGTGCTTAGATATAAAGGGCTTTAGCATCAATCTCAGGGGTTCTCAGGTGAGATGGGCTTGTCTAATATAGACACCTAGTTCAAATAACTAAGAAGTCCCCTTTTCTTAGAAAGTCTCTTTTAGAGAAGGTGACAAATCTACTCACTTCATAGATTTTCGTTGATGGATCGAACTTTGCTGCCTCAGAGATGTGAGCACAGTGTCCTCGTGAAGGCAGGAACTGGAGGAAGGAAACAGCCCTGTGAAATGCTGCAGGGGACAGGATCTACACTCACAGGGCAGAGGCACTCAGATGGGGGGTGTGGTGTCACCTCAGATTTCTAACCTGGACACCAGGGACAAATGACACCCCCTCCCCAACTCCTCTCTCCAAAGTCTCATCTCCTCTTTTCTAGGTAAAAGGCCCGACAGCTTCAGACACCTCTGCACACTCTCTGCACACACAACTATTGCTCACCATCCTAAAGGGGTTTTCAAAGGACTCCATTATGCTCTGGGCTTTCTTCTGTGCAACTGTTAATGGACCCTTTCCATTTTCTTCAGCACTAGGTTCCTGCAGGGACAAAAAAGATCACTTATAACCACAAATGTGTGAGAGTGACACCGACAGCAATGACTAAGTCTTCTCAAGCTCTCCTATGCATGCAGCACTGTCCTCTAGTAGCACACAGAAGGGTTTCAATAATTACATGTTGGATCAACAAATTCTGTGTCCTCACAGCCTATGAAGTGCACAGTATTGCTCTCACCAACTTACAGAGGAGGAAACAGGCCTGATGAGGCTATGATAATCTTCCAGAGCCTCAGAGGGAACAGTGGCAGGACAGGGATTTAAACCTAGGACAGCCTGGCTTTAGAACTTGAGATCTTCTTTCTTTGAACAGAGTTTGGGTCTGTCGCCCCAGGTTGAGTACAGTGGCATCATTATAGCTCACAGCAACCTCAAACTCCTAAGGCTTAAGTGATTCTTCTACTTCAAGCTCCGTAAGTGCTAAATTACAGGTGTGAGTCACTAATCCTGGCCCCTAACCCAGGGTCTTAACTGATACTTGTAATTTAATATTATAAATCTTAAGTTCGCTGGTGGGCTAGTGGTTAGGGTTTGGCGCTTTCTCTTACAAATCTCTATGGGGAATCAATCAGAATGTTACTTCCAATGGGTTTGTAAGACCTGTGCTGTTCTTTGGCTTCACTTTACCTATACTTTCTGCAGCATGGAGTCTAGGGAGATCACAGCTTCCTTTAAACTAAACACGATGCTTCAATCTTAATGGAGCCTAAAGTGTATGCTAACACTTTTAGCTGCTAAATCACCTTGATGGTTCATTCATATCACTCTGTGATCAACTAAAGTTCCTATATGTTCCTCATGAATTACTGAAGATCCAACCTAAATTTATGTAATTCAGTTAGAAAAAAAAGGTGATCCAAGATGGCACACAATTTGCAGGTGACATCTCATCTTCTGGGCTTTGGTCCTACCTTGAGAATGATGAAATGGTTGTAAAGTTTGATCCTGTAACCTACTACCCCATCTAACTTTTTTATCATTTGAACATTTGCTAATCTTTGTATTTTTTATTTACTTTTGATTTTTTTAGAGATGAAGTCTTGCTCTGTTACACAAGCTGACCTCAAACTAATGGGCTCAAGATATCCTCTCCCAGCTTGGTGCCTGTGGCTCAGCAGCTAGGGCACCAGCCACATATACCAGAGCTGGCAGGTTCGAATCTGGCCCTGGCCTGCCAAACAATAACAACTACAACCAAAAAAAAATAGCCAGGTGTTGTGGTGGGCACCTGAAGTC